ATAGGCCGTTGTTGTGAGTGTGGACGGTCGGAGCATATATAACGTTAGCTTAGCCAAGCTCCATTTAGAAAACACGCATTTTAAAAGGGTGTTTCTCTGCCGTCTGTCTGCAGACTTGTCAAAGCATTAATTCATGGTTTTTACTAACTGGTATCAGTGTGTTGTTACTTCGGCATCATTTTGAAACGTGTATTACAATTAAATCACGGTCAAATATGTTCATGTTGTTGTAGTTGTAGCCCCCTTGCCAGCGATTCTCTCTCTAGTTTAGCATACTCAGCCCGACTCAGCCTGGTTGTTGCTGGCCCTAGAACCACGATTTAGTCGGGCCAGAAAAAAGGTGAAAAAGTAGCCCCGGGCCAAAACTAGGCCAAGTGGAAACGCAACCAAAAACGGGCCCCGCACAGCCCGGCACGCTTAAGTCGAGCTACCCGCTGCAGTGGAAACGCGCCATAATGCCCTCGTGTTTCACGCTCACATCGCCGAGGTTAACTGTATCTCCATGTTTTCCCTTCTGAATTTATTGTGAGCTCTCGGAGGATTTGTCACATACTTTTCCGACCTAAAAAGGCAAGAAAGTATGCGATTAAATAAGTGAGTCACAACTTAACTCATGAGAAATGCCCCTTGAGATGCAGTGTTTCTACTGGGGACGAGACGTTTCACCAGCGTTCTTTTACTGCGAACACAGAACTGATATCTTGAGTAATATCCTCACCATGGGGGAGACGTTTTTCTGGAAGAGCTGTGGTTTCTCCGTCTTCCAGCCGTTGTTTCTAGAGACATACTGTATTCAGAGCGGTGTTACTGCAGTGTAACTTTAATGCAACAACAGTTGCTCCAGCAGCAGGAGCTGTTTCTATCTGATTGAGCGAGAGTGCAGCTGACCTTCAGCCATTTTACTGAGACTGTATTAAAAAGGCCCGGCCAGAGCCCTGGTTTTATGGCCGTGCCTTCCCAAGGTCCCACTGACCTGATGGATATTACCAAGATAAATCAAACCTTCATGCCAACACACTGCAACACAGCAGAGGATGGAGCGAAGCGTTGAAGAATGACTCAGAGTAAAGGTGTGTGTGTAAGTGAGCATTTGACAGTGTTTGGTGTTCAAGTGTTTGTGTGCTAAATATGCAGAGGTGGGAAGTAGTGGAGTACAAATACAAAGCACATGTCTCTGGTATCAGTACTTTACTCCACTACTTATTTTTCTGACGACTTTTTACTTGGACTTCTTACATGTTGAACACAAATACCTGTACTTTCTACTTCTAACATGTTGAACCCAAATACCTGTACTTTCTACTTCTCACATGTTGAACCCAAATACCTGTACTTTCTACTTCTCACATGTTGAACCCAAATACCTGTACTTTCTACTTCTTACATGTTGAACACAAATACCTGTACTTTCTACTTCTCACATGTTGAACCCAAATACCTGTACTTTCTACTTCTTACATGTTGAACACAAATACCTGTACTTTCTACTTCTCACATGTTGAACCCTAATACCTGTACTTTCTACTTCTCACATGTTGAACTCAAATACCTGTACTTTCTACTTCTTACATGTTGAACTCAAATACCTGTACTTTCTACTTCTCACATGTTGAACTCAAATACCTGTACTTTCTACTTCTCACATGTTGAACTCAAATACCTGTACTTTCTACTTCTCACATGTTGAACCCAAATACCTGTACTTTCTACTTCTCACATGTTGAACTCAAATACCTGTACTTTCTACTTCTCACATGTTGAACTCAAATACCTGTACTTTCTACTTCTCACATGTTGAACTCAAATACCTGTACTTTCTACTTCTTACATGTTGAACTCAAATACCTGTACTTTCTACTTCTCACATGTTGAACTCAAATACCTGTACTTTCTACTTCTTACATGTTGAACTCAAATACCTGTACTTTCTACTTCTTACATGTTGAACTCAAATACCTGTACTTTCTACTTCTCACATGTTGAACACAAATACCTGTACTTTCTACTTCTCACATGTTGAACTCAAATACCTGTACTTTCTACTTTCTTACATGTTGAACACAAATACTTGTACTTTCTACTTCTTACATGTTGAACTCAAATACCTGTACTTTCTACTTCTTACATGTTGAACACAAATACTTGTACTTTCTACTTCTTACATGTTGAACTCAAATACCTGTACTTTCTACTTCTCTCATGTTGAACTCAAATACCTGTACTTTCTACTTCTTACATGTTGAACTCAAATACTTGTACTTTCTACTTCTTACATGTTGAACTCAAATACCTGTACTTTCTACTTCTTACATGTTGAACACAAATACTTGTACTTTCTACTTCTTACATGTTGAACTCAAATACCTGTACTTTCTACTTCTTACATGTTGAACTCAAATACCTGTACTTTCTACTTCTTACATGTTGAACACAAATACCTGTACTTTCTACTTCTTACATGTTGAACTCAAATACCTGTACTTTCTACTTCTTACATGTTGAACACAAATACCTGTACTTTCTACTTCTCACATGTTGAACTCAAATACCTGTACTTTCTACTTCTTACATGTTGAACTCAAATACCTGTACTTTCTACTTCTTACATGTTGAACACAAATACCTTTACTTTCTACTCTTACATGTTGAACTCAAATACCTGTACTTTCTACTTCTTACATGTTGAACTCAAATACCTGTACTTTCTACTTCTTACATGTTGAACTCAAATACCTGTACTTTCTACTTCTCACATGTTGAACTCAAATACCTGTACTTTCTACTTCTCACATGTTGAACACAAATACTTGTACTTTCTACTTCTTACATGTTGAACTCAAATACCTGTACTTTCTACTTCTTACATGTTGAACTCAAATACCTGTACTTTCTACTTCTCACATGTTGAACTCAAATACCTGTACTTTCTACTTCTTACATGTTGAACTCAAATACCTGTACTTTCTACTTCTCTCATTTCCCAAACAGCTGGTTCCTTTAGTCTGAATGTGTGTTTGATGCGTGATCATTATTCTTTAGAGTCATTGCGTGCCTATTGATTTGAACACGATCCGTGTATCCATCATTTCCTGGTCTTCTCTAAAGAAGAGGGACCAATGGAAACGTTGTCATGTTGCCGTTGTTCAGCATGGAAACATTCATTAGCTACTGCAAAAACTGCAGATCTAACCAAGTGTAATAATCTTAAATTTAGATTCTAAATCTAGTTTGTCTTGATTTGAGTTTAAATGGCTTATCTAGTGCTTTCTATGGAAGATTTTTTGACTTAATTCAAGTAAATGTTACTTGCCTTGTCTTGATAAGCAACTTTGTCTTTATTTTAGTTATGTTTAACTAGAAACAAGGGACCTGTCTATAAAACATCCACTTCAAGGCTAAAAAGCCTTATTTTAAGCACTAGTATGGCAAGAAGAAAACAAATGAATTTCAAGCATCAGCTCTGTGGTTAACATAAGTTATTTCCCCAGCTGGTAAAGACAGAAAAAGACACAATTCAAACAAGAATTAACATCTCTTTGAATGATAATCACAAAATGAACTGATAATCATCATAACACACTCTCCTAAAGGATATGGACCAGAATAACTGATAATATGCATGACATTGACTCTTGAGGTAGGTGTGCAATCTCTACTCTGTTACTGCCCTGGAACTGGTAACACAGTGGGGGTCCCTGAGCAGTGAGGACACTGTTGGGAGGGGCTGCCAGCTACTCAGTACCCCCTCCCTCTTCCTTCAAGCAACGTCTCTTTCCCCTGTTATCTGGTCTCTTATTATCTATGGCAGTGGTTCTCAAATGGGGGTACGCGGACCCCTAGGGGTACGTTGGAGTACTGCAGGGGGTGCGTGAGATTTATTTTTATGTTAATTGAAAAAATAAATAAATACCAATTTTAGGAAAAGTAAGGAAGTTTGAGCATTTATATGAACAGAGTTTCACATATTTCAAAACGCGAAGTGTAATAACTGCAGGTGCCTCCCTGTCAGCATGACAAAGATCCTCAGTGAAGCTCAAGCCCATGTTTCACTACATTGTAAGTACAACTTATTAAAAAGATCAGTTCAATGTAACTAATGTCGTCTTAGTGTTATTGCTTGATGTTAAAATTGGTTTGCCATGAATTTAGTGATGGATTGTAAACATTTGAAATGTAGCATTTAAGTATTTCTCAGTTACTGTTGTTGTTTTAATAAATCAGACACCGATGGTGCAGCACCGTACCTCTTTATATAGGCATTTCTTCCCTAACAATTTTTTTTTTTTTTTTTGCGCTGATCAGGGGGTACCTGGCTGCATTTTTTTTTCAAAGGGGGTACATGATTGAAAAAAGTTTGAGAATCACTGATCTATGGCGTAAGCAATACTGGACAAAGAACAATATCTTAATTTCTAAGATTATGGTGCATTTATCACACCACACATGTTCAAACAATCCATGCCACATTACACATTTAAACATGAACAGCTTAACACACTAAGTATGGCTGAGCGATATGGATAACAAAAAAAATATCACAATATCTTTGACTTGAATTTTCACACACTTCATCAGATGTGGACGACTATAACGATTGCTCTCAGAGGTGTGTGCGAATTTGGCGCTTGCTGCATTATTTAATTATGCGAAGACCCGCCCCTACTCTGCTTCTCATTGGCCCTGAAAGAAGAAAAACCTGCAATGTGCATCCATGTGGTGTTTGCATCTCTCATAGAGTCGGAAAATGTGTGACTTTACTTACCATGCGTTTGTCAGAAGCTGGATCAATGACAATATCCACTAAAATATGTAAACAACGAATGCCAGTACTATATTATTTACATCGAGAGATCCTCCTCAGTCCTCAGTGTTTACAAGTGGATGGCTGTTTGTGTCCAAATGATGGCAAACGGGGAATTCCCTATTTCACGAGGATCACCTGAACGCACCACAAGCCAAGCGCCCGCGGAATGTAACACGTTGGTCAGTTCACCTTCACCTTCACCAGAGAGGCAGGACAGCGACCAAGAAGTGCAGTTAAGGTAACGTTAGTAACTGAACGTAGGAATAAAAGTCAATAGGCATATGTAACATATTAGTGCTTTCAATGTATTAAGTATTAGTACATTCATTGGTTAACTGTTAGCTGAATTAGCTAAGATAGCTAGCTAACTACGAAGCACGTGTTGCTAGCTAACCTTAACCTCACTAATGGGGTATGTAATGAGCTAGCTAACGTTAACTACTCTCAGATAAATACACTGTCTGTAAGGAACACAAAATTAGCCGACGTTAATATCATACGTTTTCTTTTGGTATTCAGTAATTGTATCTGTTAAAAGCTAGCAGTTAGTTAAAAACGCAAAGGGTTGCGGTCGACTAGCTAACGTCGACCTCGCTAGTTCATAGTGAATCACAGCCATTTTACAATTTAGTGTCTGATGCCTTTTTAATGTGATTTTTTGGGGTTGACTTTTAAAATGACAGTGCCGTCTTTTCCTGTAAATTACAGAATGCTTCTTCATGGTGAGATGGATAGATTTGATGACACAACTGTGTCACTCTTAAAAGGTAAATCTCTTGTTAATTATTTAGACATCTAACATCTGTTTGCTGTTTTCTCTGTATCAAAGTTCTATTGATTTTTACCCTCAGGTTTTGGACGAGATGGGCCGAATTCTAGAGTCAGGCACCAAGAACTTCACTGACCAGATCAAAGCCAGATGGGGAAGCTTTTGCGAAAATGCGCTGTTCTTTGGAGTGTGGAACAAGTCGTTGAAGCCACCAATGGGTCTGGATACATGTGAGCATAACGTAGATAACACTGATGTTTTATAGGTTGGGGGTGACCATTTCATGGCCGCATGGGATGTGATTGTATTAGATTATTTTCATTATTTTGATAGGACAGGGTCTCCTTTTTGATGACTGAATTATGGCTAAATGGTAGTAATAAGGTAGTAGTGGTCACTAGAGGGTTTAAACACTACTACCTTAGTCATGCATACAGGTGACCCTTATTGTTTTGCTTTCCCTTGTGCAACTGACAAGTGCTTTTTATATCCCCTGCAGTGAAAGTGTCAGGGATATTATAGATTCACCCGACCGCTGCCCCCCCCACTATCCAGTCAAACTTTCACTTTGCTGATCCAATAACTGCAATCGTTTTTATTTCACTCTTTCATTTCGCTGTGCACATTCAATATCCCTAGGAGAACCGTTTGATTTTGGTGATCCCACGCTCTCTGTCTTACATTCAGGCCAATTTTGAAAAAAAAGTAGCACCAGTTTATGTACAATTTCCCAAGGTGACATTAAGATTCATGTCGCTTCAGGGATACTGTCGTTCACCAACAGCATAGTTTGTCCATGATTATCTTATACTCCCTTGGGCTCTGCACAGAACTATTTTTTTGCTTTTGTGCTTACTTTTCAGTTACACAACACTTAATGTCAAAGTCAAATTGCCTAACAAAAACAAGCACGATGCATTTGATGATGTATCCATGTTGTTTTTCAGCTGGACAAGCGATTGCTTTCATGAAGGCACTTCCCTCAATGTTTCCTTCGCCAGCTGCCCCACCCAAAAAGCTTGAGTCAGCAAGTGAGGCACTGTTCCCTGTTCTTGAGGTGAGTCTGAGTCAGTATCAGTTCAACTGAAATAAAACTTGATATTCCTTGAGGTTTAATTTGTTTCTACTTGTTGTCTCTACTTTGTTGCTCTCAGCCATCCGAGGACCCCAATACGTTTCTCCAGAGACGGCCCATCACCAGTCCAGTCATCCTAGACTCTACTAACCTCCTCCTGGCTGTTGGCAAAATCCCACTGATGACCCTACCTAGGGAAATGATGCACGAGGCTCCACTCATCCTGATGGGGTATAACACCTTCCACCTCACCTACCCCAAATGTGTTGCTACTCTCCTATCCGTTATCCAGACTGAGGTACTGAAGGACAGTATTCACGAGCGTGACCTTACTCATTCATACAAAAAAGCAATAGCTGAATGGGGAGAATTTACAAAAAAGTAGAGAACTTGAATTCTGTGTCCAATGTTTGTCAGTTCTATGAGGATGTATATATGTTGAAGAGCTTTGTTCATTTAATAAATGATCCTGTTTGTTATGGACTGACTTAATAAAAACGTGTTTACTTATTTTAAGAGCATGTGTTCTAATTTATCTCCCTAAAAACAAGAATTACATTTCATGTAACTTGTTATCGCTTTTATCCAAAGTGACTTACATACTCAATACTGTGGTGTCTTCAGGGACACAACGACATGTTGACTGCAGTGGGGTTTGAACCTATGCTCCCCTGATCCCAACGCACTACCCACTGCGCCACACGTCTCCCTAAATCTCATTTTAAGTAATTTGATGCCCTAGTTTTGAGTGATAATAGGCTTCTTTTGCATTAAACAGGCTTAACTAGATTGCTTGAAATGAGTCTTTTTAATCTTATTTTAAGATTGTATGTGCTATAATGATAGTCGGACAGCCTGACTTGTTTTAAGACATCTTATCAAGTGAAATTTGCTTACTGCACTGGCAGCCAAGTGTGCTTGTTTTAAGTGCAAGCATGCTTATATCTAGAACGTTTGGCCTTAAATTTGACAGGGCGTTTTTGCAGTGTAACAATGACATTATTCTATTGATATAAAGGGAGGTCAGGTACTCTTTAAAGCAGCTGCTAGTGATGGGTACTTTTTACTGAAGTACATTTCAAAGTTCTTTACTTTCACTTGAGCAAAGAAGTTTAGTCAGTACTTCTACTTCTACCAGAGTATCTTTACACACGAGTATCAGTACTTCTACTTGAGTAAAGGATGTGTGTACTTCTACTTGAGTAAAGGATGTGTGTACTTCTACTTGAGTAAAGGATGTGTGTACTTCTACTTGAGGAAAGGATGTGTGTACTTTTGCCCTCTCTGTGAATGTGTGTGTGAGTGTCAGTCGAACATGAAAGCAGCGCTCCGACAGCCGCGGTGAAAAGTTTCCCTTGACTGCTTTTTGAAAGCGACGGCCTTTAATGCATCGACTCAGCGTTAACAATACAGACACACAGGGTGAGCGAAGGGACAGTGGCGGATGGCAGATCTATTTCATAACTGACCAGCATCTCATACCCAGGGGCATCGTGGGAGTTAAGCCTCAGTGTGTGGCGACAGCTGGATAATTCAGACACCAAGCCGTGCTCCTCTGGATTTACTAAGAGCGCTAAGGGCAGAGTCTTAATGACACGCATGTACCCAACACTTCTCACTGTGAAAGCCTCTTATTCTCACTGATCATCGCCTCGAAAGATGGTGTGATGGAAACTCCACTTAATCACCGTCTGGTAAGAAAAGAACAAGCTTAAACCAAAGTTATTTAATAAAGAGTTATAGCATTTAACAGATTCAATGTATTTCCAGCTGGAAGGACAGAAATCTGATGCCATGTCTTTTTATGCCGCTGCAACACAAATAATTCCCAAACTGGGATCAATAAAGTTCTTCTCCTCTCTTCTCTTCTCTTAACCCTGTTACAACAGAAACACAAGCACTATACAGGAACAGGACATACGGGGGAAGTCTCAGCTAGAATTGACATTACAAGCCGTTTCAATGTTTGTATTTTCATTACAAACCTAAGATCCATTTGATAATCGCCTGACAGAAAGTTACATATAATGAAATGAGACTTGTGATACCTTTCTACGATAGATGGAAGTAACAGGATGTGAGATATTAGACAGCGTGTATTTTAGTCTGAAACAACAGTTTAAGTTTTGGAAGTTTGGAGCAAGATGGCTCTACAACATGAAAACTAATGGAGGGTGAAAGATCAAACTATTAAAAGACCACCATCTGCTGTTCATTTATCAAGAGACTTCACACCTGTCCACACACTGCACAGCACCATGTGGTCTCTTCTTCAAATAAGTATCATATGATGTACGCTTTTCCACTTATAATGGGTTGCTAGCAACACTAATGCTGCATTTAGACTTAGAGGAATACAAGTCTACTTTTTGTGCATCTGCTTTACATCATTTCCCTTCTTTTGCACCTGAGCCGCCCCTAAAGGTCCCAAATGCTTTGTGGCATATTGAAAATGTGTTTTAATGAGAAGGATTAACTAAGTATGTGTAACAAATATAATCAGGATCAGGGTCTAACCGCCCAGAAAACTATTTCTATTTCTATTATATCGTGCACATGTCAATAAAACTTCTTTAAAAAGTCTCTCCTGATTGAAATTATTATTATTATTATTTGGAAAATATAAAACAAATCCATCCATCCATCTTCTCCCGCTTATCCGTGGTCGGGTCGCGGGGGTAGCAGTTCCAGCAGAGAGCCCCAAACGTTCCTTTCCCCTCATCAACCAGCTCTGACTGGGGGATCCCAAGGCGCTCCCAGGCCAGCGAAGAGATATAATCCCTCCACCTGGTCCTAGGTCTACCCCTTGGTCTCTTCCCAGCTGGACGTGCCTGGAACACCCTCCCTAGGGAGGCGCCCAGGTGGCATCCTAACTAGGTGCCCGAACCACCTCAACTGGCTCCTTTCGACGCGAAGGAGGAGCGGCTCAACTCCGAGTCCCTCCCGGATGACCGAACTTCTCACCTTATCCCTAAGGGAGACACCAGCCACCCTGCGGAGAAAACCCATCTCGGCCGCTTGTATCCGCGATCTCGTTCTTTCGGTCATGACCCATCCTTCATGACCATAGGTAGATAACATACACATAGAAAGAGTATATGAAATGAAGTTCCTTGGTGTGGTTTTAGAGCACAAAATCAGCTGGAAACCTCATATCAATGATGTAAAAGCAAAACTGGCTAAAACTATCGCAATATTGGGAAAAGCCAGATGCATTCTGGACCACAACTCATTGCATACTCTATATAACACACTCATATTGCCATATCTGATTTACTGTGTGGAGATTTGGGGAAACACGTACAAAACCACCCTACAGCCGTTATGCACATTACTAAAAAGGGCCATAAGAGTCAATAATGTTGGATATCTTGAACACACTAATGTATTATTCTTGAAGTCACACATGAAGTTCATTGATCTGGTTACATTTAAAACGGCACACATCATGTACAGAGCCAGACATAATCTACTTCCTAGGACATTAAAAACATTGTTCGTAGACAGAGAGGGGGGGTATCATCTGAGAGGAAATCTACATTTTAAACTCAAGGTCAGAACAACTCTGAGAAGTATGAGTTTAACAATCTGTGGGGTGACTTTATGGAATGGTTTGGAGCAGGAGTTCAAACAAAGCACAAGCATCATTCAGTTTAAAGGATGCACAGAAACACTTTTTGGGAAAACTATGAGAATGAAGAAGGTGATTGAAGATGAGACATGTTTGTATAAATATAAATGTATGGAATAACTTGCATAATGATTTAAAGGACAATCATTGATCAAGTAAGGGGTGGGAATGAATAAGCATTTGCTTCCTCCTGCTCCCTTTCGGACACATATGATTTATTATTAATATGAAGACTTTTGTTGAATATACAAATATTACCATGAATGTGGATAAATACTGTATTATAACAATACGGTATTCTGTTTATCACATTTGTTATTTTTTAATCTGTTCGAAATAAAGACTGAAAGAAAGAAATTAGAGACCAATGTAATCCATGTCTTCACCTGTAACGGTCTCTGGTGAAAGACCCTCAAAAAACACCCCAAGGTTCCTGCCTGAAAAAACAATTGAAGCAGTTTCTTGTCAGCAATAATGCCCGAGATGTGCCGTAAGCCAACGAGACATCTCATTAGTATTCAAAGCCAACAGCGTCCTCCTGGGTGTTTTATATGACAGCCATCAGTACATGTGCAGAATGTTTACACATCAATAAAAGAGCAGGAGCAACAACAAAAGGTAACTAGCTCTCTGGGTGCCATGAAAGATGTTATGGCAGCTAGAGATGGGATGTGTTATTACATCTCAAATTGTGTCTAAGCTTTCAGACGTCATGGTCAAACATTTTAAGAGCTACATGTTTGTGTGCTTGCTTCCTCTCCTGGTTTCCCCTTTGCAGCATTTCCTGTGGCTTTTGATCATAAATCCATTCGTGTAGTTATTGGGTCGGACTCTCTCTCCGATGGGACCTCGGAGAGCCTCTGGCCGCTTTCAGGACAATTCATCATTGTTGCTAAATGTAAGCAGCGCGCTGTGGTGATGTTTACAAATGTAAAGGCAGGTTATGGGAGAGTGTGTGTGTGTGTGTGTGTGTGTGTGTGTGTGTGGTGTGTGGTG